TAAATGCATGAAATAGGTAAGAATCAAAGTCCGTTTGTTAGAAGGATTGGTTTGGAAATAAACAAACATTTAAATGTTATCTGTGAATCCAAAGAAAGCTGCATGCACCTTACCAATGACACTTTAACCTTCCCCTTGCCCATCTTCATTCTGACCTCAGTAATCTCTGGGCAACAGATGCACAATGAATTCCCCCAACTACATTCACACACAGCAGGGAGTGGAGAGCCAGGTGTACAGTCAGCACCCACATGTGGAAAACTCCCTTACTGACTGTCAGGATTTACATCAGGGCTGGAGAAAGGCTTTACTTATATTGAAAATCTTTTAAAAGGTCAATTTAATAACAATCATCTTTTAAAGAGATTTGGGGGCTGGAGATGGTGGAAGGTACAACCTAAATAGCCAAAACCAAACCAAACCACAACAACACAACCCCCTCCCCAAACAACAAAGCAAAACACTGAACTCACTGCCATTGAGCCCATGCTGACTCATAAAGACGCTGTAGACAGAATCGTCCTCCACTCACATTCTATTTCAGTAAATGCCTCTGGAGGGACCTTATTTTCAGAGTTAAATATGCCTCAAATGAATTGGTAAGCCTCCGTCTCACTTCTTTCTTTCCCCTGTCGTCTGCTCCATTCCATGATGTCACTAGAAAGGGGAAAGAGCCTTAGCCACTGGAGGGCACCAAACTGAGTCCCGGTCTTCATTTTAAGAGCGAAAACTCCTTACACCACCAATATCTTAGAATTTCGATCACCTCTCAAATGAGTCAGTATGCTCGTGGACTTGACTTTAAGAAACAAACAACAAAGACTTTGAACTCTGAGTATGAGATGGCTATGTCCCACACTCATGCAACCATTTGATTGACAGAGGATTGTGAAATTTAGCACAGCAATGCACACACAATCAGGATTTTGCCTAACCTGGTGATTACAATAGAACGACTGCAATTCCTCCTCCTTTTGCGTCAAATAAGAATAGCTTAGAATTTTTAGCTGTCCAGAATCTGGGCTGCTGTTTTTATAGCATCATTATTTCTCATACTTTTATGGTATAAAATGTCTGTTTTATTTCATGTGTAAATGAGATTATGCATAATTTTGCAGTTCAAGAATAATTTATTTTTATAATCTTTTTCATAACAGCCAGGACTCCAAGCTCAACTGAAAAGACTCCTCTACGAAATAAACTCATCCCACAAGGGTTATGAGCTCAGCATTGCCAATGGTGTTTTTGCAGAAAAGGTGTTTGATATTCATAAGGTAAGAAAGTGGTATCTCCTTCATTAGAAGGTCATTTCGACTCTGGACTTGAGAAACTTGTTCAATACATCATTTGAAGAAAGGGTACACCTTTCCACTCAGACACAAGAAGGTGACTTATTTCTCAGTTTCTTTCTGCAAATCATATTTGAGGGTGCTTAAAAAACATCATTACCCTGCTTCCAATGTGAAACTATATTTCAGCTGGTTATTCCACATATTTCGAGTCACTAGAATGATGGGTTCTAAACCAGACAGCACAATTTTTACTGGACTTACTTGGAGCTTCGATTGGGTGGTGGAGAGCTGACTGTTTGTTCGGTGGGGGGGGTGGGGGGGGGTTTCTACGGGCTGCAGAGGAGACCTGGGGTAGTTAAGCATCTGGCTGTGGACAGAAAGTCCAGAGAATAAATCCACCAGCAGCTTCATAAGAGACAGGTGAGATCACAGGAGGCTTGGAAACCTAAGTCAAAGTTCCACTCACTCCAATAAGGCTGACATCAGTGGGAATCTTATCAACAGCAGGGGCTTTGGATATAAGCAACGGAAACAAAGTCTATGCATTTTCCTGAGCTGTGGGCTACCGGGTTATGTTTGAATCAGCAGTGCTGAGTCCTCTCACAACATTCCTCTTTTTATCTCAGCTATGTCCCTACTCACTCCTTCCTGTAGCAGCTACAGGGTAGCTCCTTACTGACTCAGGGAGATCACTTAGGAGTGCCTGATAGGCATGGTTATATTAAGCGCTCTGCTGGTGCAGTGGTTAAGTAGCTTGACTGCTTAACCCAAAGGTCAGTGGTTCAAACCCACCAGTCACTTCCCTGGAGAAACATGAGGCAGTCAGCTTTCATAAAAATTTACATCCTTGAAAATCCTCTGGGCAATGCTACACTCTCCTATTGGGCCATTGTAAGTCAGAATGGACTCATTGGTTTGGGTTCAGTACCCTTAGATTAGGTGGTTGTTGGCTAAGGAGCATCCAAACAGACATAGGAAATGGCCTCATCTGGGTCAACAGCCTAATTTTTAATAATACTCTATGGTGTTTGTGTTACCTGTGCATCTACCATTGCAACCCTCCCACCCAAAGTCTGCATTCTGTCCCAGAACATACTTCACACATTCTATCTTTCTATGTTCAACTCATGCTTTAAAACCATCATTGCTGTGAGAATGAAAAGCTGCCTCCCTGGTTGGTCACCACAATTCTCTGGGCTTGTTTTCTCTCCCTTTTAATTACCCATTTCTCAGACAGCCGTACAACTCCACCTCAGGGTTTATCTCCAATTGCATCTCTGCCAGCTCTCTGTGTCCCACCCAATCATTATTGCTCCCTCTGTCTGCCACCCACACACATTCTTTACCCCTTCCCAGCACCACTCCCCATTCCTCTGGTAGCCGGCCAATTATGAGGCATTGGGCCACGTTTGTTATCTTCCCAATAGATTCCTCCACCAGGCCCATAGAGCCTACTCTCTCCATACAGTCCTGTACTCCATGTCACTCAATCCCCACATGTTCCGCTGTGTCCCCAAGAACTGGCCAACTCTTCAATCTGGAAGTTGGTCTGTCCATCAGCATACTATTTATAGCAGATTTCTATGTTTAACTGGCACTTGGTGTATGTAAAGGCCAATGTATCTAAAAATATAGTAACGTGAAATCTGACAAAGAAAGTGCAACACAGAGATACCACTATTTTTTCCTCCCAAACATTTAAGTACAGTCTACTATCCAAGTACTACTTTTGGTTAAAAAAATATATAACTAATTGTCAATTTTCAATTACCCACATGAGCGAAAACTGGATAATCTCCAAGAAAATGATATTTTGTTTAACTATTATTCACATTTTGGTATTGATGAGTGGGTTATGAATTGGGCTACTAACCATAACGCCAGCGCTTAAAAACCACCAGCTGCTTTGTGGGGGAAAGATGAGGCTTTCTACTCCTGTAAAAAGTTCCAATCTCTGAAACCCACAGAAGCAGCTTTACCTTGTCCTGTAGGGTCACGATGAGCCAGAATCAATTTGATTTCAGTGAGTGTGTGTGCACTTTAAAACAAACAAAAAAACATATAATGTTTTATAAATTCTCATTACAAATAAGCCCGGTATCCTTGAAGGACCAACCACAACTACCCCCACCACCATCACTACCACCACCACCACCAAAACCAAAACATGCTTGTCAAGTTGAGAGCAACTCGTATGATTTTCAAGGCTGAAGTGGACTGTCTCACCTTTCTTGAGTGGAGTCACTGGTGGGTTTGAACTGCTGACTTTTCAGTTAGCAGTCCAATGTGTAACGCATTGCACAACGTGAACATATTCCTGGTATCTTGTTCTCCTTCTTCCTTCAACCCCTGTTAAAGCTGCCTTGGGTCTGACATCTGCAAAGATCATTCCATACTTTTCCAAATTCTACCGTTACTTTCAATGAGCCAACAAGCTTCCCTTTGTACAGTTTCCTGACGGCTCCACACCATATTTAATGAGTGAAGACCGTAGCCACAGCCTGGAGCTCTTTCATACCTGGAATTGTTCCCCTCCTGGAATCTACAGTTCTAATTTCCTCACAATCCCCTGTGCTTCTAGTTCTTTCATTCTTTCCTTGCCACTCAATCTGTTCTTCAACTGGATTGAGTTAGTCAATCTCTTGGCCTCTCCATTTCTTCTCAGAGTATCAGCTCTCTCTTAGCTTCATTTCCACACCAAACGACCATAGCTGTTCATTCTCTGGCCATTCTGTTTGCAATTCGTTCCTTCTTACAGCAAAGCCACATCTGGGTCAATCTCCCTATTTCTCTCAGCTCTCCTCCCTGAACTACTGAATGATACTTGTGGAAATCCTGCAAGTGCAGTTCAAACTGAAAAGACATGGCTTCCCACCCCAGCTAGATTCAGGGTTGGTGCCCCACACTCATAGTGTGTTTCCTTAGTAATTTTTTCTCTCATTATTCACAATAGTTATTAAGAGCTTTCTTATGTCTCTCAATTCGCCAACAACCCTTTACCTCCATTATCAATTTCAAATAAAGATTTTATCTTCTACTTGAAAAGAGAAATACAGGAACAGTAGGGAGAAAAATACCTCCCTGTTTCTCCCTACGTAGGTCCTGGATCTTTTCCCTCTGTCCATCAATTTCAGAGGAAGAACATTCTGAATGGTAATCCCACCATTTGTATTTTCCTTCCATCGACTCCCAGTTCTCTAGGGATCTGGTTCCGTCAATCTTCTTCCTGGATTTCAATCACTTACAAATTTCTTCCTCACAGCAGTTTAATGTGCTCAAAATGCTGATTTTTTTTCAATATTGTTTCTTGTTTCTTTTAATCTCCTACTCCCCAACCTCCTCATAATTCACTCTCCTTTTCTTTATTTCTCACTTTGACACTTGAAGCATGCAAAACCAAGCCTCTTCAAAGAGTGCTATCTACACATGGAACCCATTTGCTACCCTTTCATTTCTCAGCCCTTTGCAATCTGACTCCCTTCTCAACTACTCTCGGAAAATGTTTCTCATGGAAGTGATTCATGATTCCTGCATGGACACACAAGCTGTGAATATGTTTAAGTTTTATCTTGCCTGCTTCATCGATTCTAATACCATGTAAGCACTCACCCAGACTTCCCTAGCATAGTTCTGGTGACACTGATTTTACCTGGTTTCCCCCCTTCTCTGATACTTCATCTTCGGATTCCTTATCTTTATTCTTCCACCCATCTCTAAATGCCTCATGTTCTTTAGGCTTCTGCTCCCAGATGGCTGCAATTTTCCATTCTCCCATCTCTGCTAAGGAAAAATGATCTACTTTGACAATTTACACTTTATTGAAGCTGTCCCACATGCCTTTGCAGCTCCCCACAGCTGTCTGATGAGTCATTCCTTGCCTACCAGGGCCAGACTCATCATGACTGGTGTGAGTTCTCAGGTGTGCCGTCATAAGCCCCTCAACACACCATCTCTCCCACACCCAGAGCCTTTTCTCCTCTAGTGTCCTCTTTCTGTGTGTGGCCCCTCAGCTACCTGGGACATCTTTAAGATCTCCCTTCCCTTCCCTTCCATCGATGAGCACGATTCCTAAGGATGACTTTTACTTTTGAAATAAACTATATTTTTGAAATTAAATTACTAATTATTTTGAAATAAACTATAATTTATGGGAAAGTTTTAAGTATTCTAGAAAGAATTCCCCTCACCCTGCTGGATCATTTGAGACACCTTATCACTCTTGAGTACTTTTGTGTGTAATTCCTACGAACAGTTATGTTCTCGTACACAACCACAGGTAACCATCAAAGTCAGAAAAGTAGCACTGTTAATTACTATAAGCCAAATTTTAGAATCCCCTCACGTTTCCATCAGTGATCCTGCCACCATTCCTTACAGCATATATCCAAGGATTTAATTCAAAACCACACCTTTTATTTAGTTATTATGTCATTTTAGTCTCCTTCAATTTGGAACAGTTTCTTAACCTTTCCTTGACTTACATCATCTTGACAGTTTTGATGTCATTGTTTTGAATGTCTAGTTTGGGTTTCTATGTTTTAGTGTGTCTTTCAGTGTGGCTTGCCTGGATATTTTTGATGATTGAATTAAGTTATGTGTATTTGGAAGGCACATCACAGGTGATGGTTTGTAGCATGGTTTTAATTCATCTCATTGCTGGTAATGTTGACTTTGACCACTTGCTTTCAATCAAGTGTCTATTTCTAGTCCTGACTGCTTGCCAGATCTGCTTCCTTAGTGGAAGAAAACATCATCCACAGTCTCAAAGCTTCTATTCAAAATTTCATATGCAATGTCCATCACTGAGTGAAGAATTGCAAGTCATGCCAGAAGTTAAAAAAAAAAACTTGGCTGAAAATAAAGATAATCAAACCAATGAAATAAATCTTACAGGGTATCCAGGTAATGGAGTTATTAGATACCATTTAAAAATAACAATTATTATTGTCTCTTTTAAAATGGAGGGGGGAAATGGAGGACAA